GGGCGCGGGTGAGGTGGGCGGCCGTGCTGGCTCTCCTCCTGGCCTCCCTCCTCATGCTGCTGCTCCCGCTGGCTGCCGTGGAGGAGCAGTGCCACGCCGTGCTCAAAGGACTCGCCTTCCTGAGGAGTAAACTGGGCGTGGGCTCCTCGGGGGTCACCAGATACGCGGCGCAGACGACGGGGCTGAGTGTCGCCTCCAGCGGGCTGGAGCTGCTGGTGCTGAAGGGCAAAGCCTCCCCAGGTAAGAGCGTCCCCGGGGGGGCGCAGGGGGGAGGTTCCCGTGGAGGAACAACCCCCCCAAGCTGCCCATGTCCTGTAGCCCACCTCTCCTTGCCCAGCTGCAGCTTCTCCTCAGCTGTGAAAGGCCCAGAGCTGAGCTCCCTGCCTGCATTCCACCACCCCGTGCTGCAGAAGGGTGACCTGCTGGCATCCTCTCTGGGCACAACTTTGCTCCTCACAAGGTTTTCCTCACATTTTTGGTACTAGTAGGTCCTGTTAAGGGAACTGGAATAGAGAGAGGTGTTTTAATACAGTGGTACATGGCATTAATCCCAAAATCCCAGCTGCCATGGAATGCCCTTTCTGGCTGTGACATGCTCAGGTCGTTGCCTTTATTGGCCAGGATGTTAATTGGGAAGCCACTCAACAGAATAATTGCAATTCCAGCACTGTGTCTTTGCTTTAAAGCTGGTATTGCCTGGAAGATGTGTGATAGTTGAGTGAAAAAACAGGTAGAAGTGCTGCTGGCAGCTGTGAGAGAACCAACATTATTGTTGTGATAATCATAGATTCATGGAGGTTGGAAAACACCCCCAAGATCAAGTCCAAGCACCAACCCAACAGCACCACGACCACGTCCTGAATTGCCCCATCTACGCCACCAGAACGTGTCCAAGGCTCTGTCCTTGCACCCAGAGCAGCCTGGTGGCCAAAGTGAGTGTTGCCAAGGTGGCTACGTGCCCGTGGCCAGCTTGGGCCACAGCAGCAGCCTGTAAACGTGGCAGCAGGCTCTGCATGGAGCCTGGCAGGGGCTGCAGTGCCAGCTCTTAGAGACTGGCTTTAATTCGTTTTTAGAGAATCCTTTAGGTTGGAAGGGACCTCCAAGATCATCAAGTCCAACCCTTGAGCCGTTAGGGCTCTAAAGTCCTCTGCTAAAACAGATCAGAATCTGTCAGGGCTGGAAGGGACCACAAGGATCCCCCAGTTCCAACCCCTCTGCCATGAGCAGGGACACCTCCCACTAGATCAGGCTGCCCAGAGCCTCCTCCAGCCTGGCCTTAAAGACCCCCAGGGATGGGGCCTCAACCCCCACCCTGGGCAACCCATTCCAGGGGCTCACCACTCTCATGGGGCAGAACTTCCTCACCTCCAGCCTGAATCTGCCCACATTAAACAAAACAACAACTCCAGAGGTTTCCAGCCCAACTCCCTACCCTTTATCTCCCTCTTACCCTGTTTCAGAAGTGAAGTTAGAAGCCAGAGCAGCTCTGAAGCAAGCCCTGGAGATGAAGCGCCAAGGGAAGCGGGAGAAAGCCCACAAGCTCTTTCTCTATGCCCTCAAAATGGACCCTGATTACGTAGATGCCCTCAACGAATTCGGCGTCTTTTCAGAAGAGGAGAAAGACATCCTTCAAGCCGACTACCTGTACTCCAAAGCTCTCACCATCTCCCCCTGCAACGAGAAGGCTCTGATCAACCGGGACCGCACGCTGCCTTTGGTGGAAGAGATAGACCAGAGATATTTCAGCATGATAGACAGCAAGGTGAAAAAAGTGATGGCCATCCCCAAAGGCAACTCCGCCCTGCGTCGGGTGATGGAGGAGTCTTATTACCACCACATCTACCACACGGTGGCCATCGAGGGCAACACCCTGACTCTCTCAGAGATCAGGCACATCATCGAGACGAGGTATGCTGTGCCAGGGAAGAGTTTGGTGGAGCAGAATGAGGTGCTGGGCATGCACGCCGCCCTCAAGTATGTCAACACCACCTTGGTGTCTCGCCTGGGTTCCGTCAGCGGCGGGGACATCCTGGAGATCCACCGTAGGGTGCTGGGTTACGCCGACCCCGTGGAAGCAGGGAGGTTCAGGACGACTCAGGTGTTTGTAGGGCATCACATCCCACCCCACCCCGGGGACGTGGAGAAACAGATGGGGGAGTTTGTGCAGTGGATCAACTCGGAAGAGGCCATGAGTTTGCACCCCGTGGAGTTCGCCGCTTTGGCTCACTACAAGCTGGTTTACATCCATCCCTTCGTGGATGGCAACGGGAGGACCTCCCGCCTGCTGATGAACCTCATCCTCATGCAGGCAGGCTACCCCCCCATCACCATCCGTAAGGAGCAGAGGGCAGAGTATTACCACCTCCTGGAAGTGGCCAACGAGGGGGATGTGAGGCCCTTCATCCGTTTCATCGCCAAGTGCGCCGAGACCACCCTGGACATGCTGCTCTTGGCCACCACCGAGTGCTCCGTGGGCTTGCCTGGAGGAGATGGGGGCACTGCCCCACGCAGACAGACCATCCCTGTCAAGACCTGAGGGTTGTGGGCCTTCAAGAGCCAAGGGACACGTGGGAGAAGGGAATGCCAAGCCCCTGGGTGATCCTGCTGGGAAGTCGCTCGAGGGGAGGTGTCATTATTTAAATTAATGTAATTTATTTATATACGTTCTGCCAAGCTGAAATGTGAACTGTTGGTGGTGACTGTGCACTAGAACTTGCTTGTGCTACTGGAAGGAAGGGAGGAGAGGGGTCAGAGGGGCTCAAGGAGTTGAAGCAGAGCTTAATTTCCCCTTCAGTTGAAGCTTTGAGAGGCTGTTTCAGTCGCAGCCCTTCGCCTGGTCAGTCAGCTGCATTGTCCTACCCCCTCCTCAAGGAGCTGAGACCCCCCTCT